TATATATATATGGTGTGTGTAATGAAGCGCATATCAGCGCAAGGCATTCAATGAGTGGATGATCCGTGTTCTTCTCATCACCCTCTCCGTCTGTGTAACGTGTTGGCTCCTTGGAATCCGACAGAAGCGCTGCAGCCGCAGTAGCAATAACAATAACAGTATAAACCACAGCGGCAAAGAGGCGTCAACAGCGTATCAGACACAAACACATAGAAAGGCACACATAATAGTTCACAGACCCACTGCTGTCATCTATCTAGTGCTAACATGATCCGCACACAAGGAAATACGTACATACCCACATGTATATGTGAATTGGAGTGTGAGGAGTGGTCCACCAGCACTGAAAAGAAAGAAATCGTCTTGAAACTGCGGTAATAATCGATCAAATCCGAATCCATCTTTCTTTCCTTCGCGGTTTATTCGTTTTTGTTTTCTAATATTTCCTTTGGTTTCCTTCCCTTCCTTTCCCTCACCACCTCACCCCAAATCCCTTCCACTTTTTGTTTCTCACTCTTCTCCAGTCGGCCCCCTCCCCCGTCTGGTTGGGGTGTGCGGTATATTTGAGCAGAGAGAAGAGGTACAGCGCCACCGCACCTTCACAAAAACATTGAGCACCCGCAGGAGAACAATAACGTACAAATAAAAAACACAAACACACCTTCCCCCATTCCACGCCCTCCCAAACAAAAATAAAAAAATAAACAAGATGAATTCGGGAGATGCGACAGTGAANGGGGAGAGGTGAATAGTGGGCACGCTGCGACATTGATAGCTGCGACTAAAACCACCGCGTTCCTTCATGGTGTGCAAAGTTCCTCCGCTTAGCAAACCTCGTGGCCGCCCAACGGCCTCTCGTCCGCTGCCTCGTGGCGCAGCTGCTGTCTCGCCCGCTCGGCCACCACCTCCGCTGGTGCCATGCTCCGCTCTCGCATGGGCGGTGACGCGTCTCTCACATCATCATCGTCACAACCCCCACCACGCCTGTAGTAATTGCCGCTGGCTCCGTGGGCATTATTGGTGTTGTTGTTGCACGACTCGGCCAGCAGCCTGTCGAGCGACGTGGCGCCCTGCAGGGTGATACACTCCGCCAGCACCTTGGCGCGCCGCTCCATGAGGACGGCCTCCATCGTGTTGCACTCCGGCATGTGCGGCACACACGGCGACTCGGCGCCGCAACGATGCGGGGAGTCGGTGGCGACCGGCGTCGTTGCTGAAGACGACATGCGCCACGTCAGCGGCGTCATGCCGCCGGCGGCGAGACTGAATGACGATGAGCGCGACAGCCACCTCGAACAGCTGCAGGAGCGGCGGACCTCCTCATCCTCATCGTTGATATTGTCACAGCCCTCTGCGCCCTCCGCGTGGTACGGGCAGCCGCTGCTTTGTTGCTGCTGCTGCTGCAGCAGCCATATTGCGTGGAGGGGCTCAGGCAGGCACGGCGACGTGGCGGTGGAGACGGCAGCCAGCGTGGTGGCGAGCGACCCGCGACGTGCGCCGGCAGGTGGGAATTGCGGGAAGGCTCCCGCTGGCAGTGACAACGACGCAATGGAGTCGCGGCGCGAGAGNCCGCGACGTGCGCCGGCAGGTGGGAATTGCGGGAAGGCTCCCGCTGGCAGTGACAACGACGCAATGGAGTCGCGGCGCGAGAGGGAGGGACTGCGCACAATGGACTCCTCGTCCTCCCCTGACGGGTACGCGCCTAGTGACGCGAGTCGTTCCATCCTCCTCACACGGACGCACTCACTCAATCGCTTTTTTTTTTCGCTTTTGTGTCTTGGCGCTTGTGCGTATATCTCCGTGTGTGTGTGTGTGTGTGCGTGTAAGAACGACCCAACAAGCTGTGTGGGTTCGCAGTGATGCACCTTCAGCTGAGCAAATGTTTTGGAGTACATGGCGTGAGTGAGTGGGAGAGAATGGGGGAAAGCGAGAAGGAAGAAGCAATGGCTGTTTGTTTATTTCCCGCTTACTGCGTGTGTGTGTGTGTGTGTGAGCTCATGAATACATCGGCAAGAGTCGCCCACCGCACGGAGGCACAGCGTCAGTCACAGGGAGACGATCACAGAAGCAAAAACACAAAAAAAAAAAAACAAGGAACAAAAACAACAACGAAAACGAAAACAGCAACAAAAACAAAACAAAAAAAAACATGGAAAATCAGGAGGTATTTAAAAGGGCAAAATACACTGTGAGAGGGGGTCATGGTAATGCGGAGGAATGGAAATGGAAAACGCATGCGCCTTTACAAGTGCTCAGGACTCGATATACCTCGAGCACGAACGAGTGCGCGTCGGCCGGTCCAACCGCACCTGCGCGGCTACGGCTGCGACTGCAGGTACCGAATCGCGTCAGTGAATCTCTTGATGGCCGGCACCGGCACCGCCGCCGTCTGCTTCTCGCTCGGGTACGACCAGTTGACGCAGTTCCCGCTTCCGTTGCTACGAACCTCGTCATGTTCCTTATAAGCGTGAGGTTTGTTGATGTTGCCCTCAATTGACAGCCTACGCGACGATGCGCCAGCTGTTGACACTGACGTCGAGCTGCTGCCTATATCGCTTGGCGTCAACTTGGAGCAGTGCGTTGTGTGCGGGGAAGCGGCGGTGTGTTTTCCTTTCCTGGATTGCTTCTTCGGAGTAGGGGCAGCAACATCAGCGAGGACAGAGGCATAGACAGCGGAAGAGAAAGCGCCGCGAGTGGCACTAGAGCGCGAGTTCGTACGGGAGAATGGGATCCAATCCTTCATGTGACTGGGTGACGCCTTCGTCCCACTCGCTGCATTCTTGTAGACTCTCGCCGCTGCCGGGGAAGCCTCCCCGGTGTCTTGCCGATTCAAAGAGATCCAGTCGACATCTGAGTTGTAGCTGTGTGCACGACGGGCACGACCTGCTGCTGCGCCGCCTCCGCCGAAAAACAGTCGCGGGGTTGTGAATGCGGAGGATATGGGTGATATCGTCACTGACAAGCAATGACGCAACCGTGGGGTTTTCGAGACGCCGTGGGAACTCCCACAGAAGCCGCTATTGTGGCTAACTACGAGGAAGTGCACAGAGGAGGCGCTCGTTGTGGACACATACACCGAAGTGGAGTCATCATCACTGTCAACGTTAGAAGCCCCATTGTGCCGCCGCGCAGAGAGGCCTATCTCACTACCGTTTCTCGTGGCAGGGCGCTCCCTCGATCCTGGCCTGAGGATCAACGGCAGTGCCATTCCCGGCGACATCGATCCTGTAGCGATTGCTGATGTTATTCCCTTTGTTGATGGTGGCGATGTTGCGGCAATTGTTTTTGGTTCAGGTTTTGTTTCACTCACTACTAACTTTGCTGTATTTGGTCTCAATAATGTCGGTGCCGCTTTTGCAGCATTTGGTGATTTTTTTGCTACTACTGCTGGTGCCTTTACCCCTTCGTGTGGTTTGGGTGGGGCTTTTGGTGCCTTCGGTACCGGTGGTTTCATTGGCTTTGTTGGGTTCAATGGGTCTACTGATGTATTCGGCTTCACTTTTTGTGTTGAAGTGGCTTCGTCAAACGATGCTGTTAAGGACTCACCCACGTTTGATATCAGTACCTCGGTCCCACTTGTCTCAACTGAGCTTTCCTGTCCCTGTAGACTCTCTCTCATTGAGAAACTCAAAGCACCCGAGTCACTGTACTGTGTCACTACTGTCTTCACTTTGCTTTGTGTTTTGTTTCGCAGAGCTGGTGGTCCTGGCGGCTGCGCTGAATGGGGTGGAACGGGGCGTAACTTCGCCTCATTGCATCCCATTCTGCCTGACTGCGAGTACTTGGGGGGGGATTGATCCTATTCCTCACTCTATAGTTGTGTTCACAGTGATGTCAACACAAGTGGATGTGAGGGAGACTTGCAAAGAGAACTAAATTTGTTTGTGTGTTTCTTTGTTGTTGTTGTTGTTTTTGTTGGGGGGGGTGGGGTGGGGACTTCGGTACGCTTACGGCCTATAAATATATATAAATATATATCTTGGACGGATAGACAGATACCCCTTGAGATGTATTTACTTCGAGAGCTCTAGATTTTGTTCTTCGCCTGGTGGGCCCGAGGCCCCCTTGAGATTTCTTTTTCTATCTGTTCTCGCACTGGAGTAACGCGTAAAACGAGAAAATCCAAGAAATAGAAACCACAGAAGCGGCATAATGGGTGAAAGCGAAAACACGGCAGCAGGAGTGACACTCCTGCACACGCATACCCCTTGCTACAGCCCAGAGAAGGCGGCAGCGGAACTCCTGGATTCCCCAAATCCACACATCCACCCACTCACTCACTCACTTCTATATGTTCTTCTATGCTGTGCGGGCCTCCCGGTGTATGGTGCGCGCCAACGTGACCGCGATAGCTGCTGACTGCTGCAGCAGCGTCACAGCGTCGGGCCCCATCAATTCCTCCGACACCCCGCTCCCCCTCCTGTTCTCCCCTTCCTTCTTTTGCTGCTGCTGCTGTTGTTGTTGTTGTTTGTCATCTTGTGGCTGATGCAATGCGGCATCTGTGCGCCCAATGCCTTTCAGCGCGGCGGCGAGGCGTATTTTGCCCGCAGCATACCGACGCTGCAGCCGTTCAATGTTACGCCCCAGTCGCAGCACCTCATCGTCGCGCTGCTTCTGCAGCTCGGCCAAGGCGGTCTGGTGGAGACGCAGCTGCTGCTCGCAGTACGACTGTAGTGTCTGCACCTCCAGCTCTGCCTCCTCCGCACGCGCTCGTGTCATTGCGAGCTCTGCCTCCAGCTCGCCCGCCACCTGCAGCTTCTCCAGCGCGGCACTGAGTCTCCCGCTCACCGCCTGCAGTTCTTCCTCTGCACCCTGGAGGCGTGATGCAAGCTGCGCGCGCTCGTCCTCCACCTCCCGCAGCGCTGCCGCCTGTTCGGCTCTTTCCTTCGCCCACTGCTCCTGGGCGGACTGTAGAACCTCCATCTCGTGCTCCAGTGTTTCCCGCTGCTGCTCGTGTGACGCGTTCGCCTCGGCGAGTGCCGCCACCGCCTCCTGCTGCGCCTTGGCGGCGTTGTCGTACTTCTGCACAGCGCCCTCCACTTCGGCCAGCAGCTGCGTCTGCTGCGCCTCGGCCTGCCGCTGCACATCGTCCAGAGTCCGCTGCAGCGTCTCACGCGTGCGTTTCGCGTCGTCGAGGGCCAGCTGCAGCTGCTGCTGCGCGCGCGCCAGCTCCTCGGCGTGGGTGGCCTTGAGCGACTCCAGTGACTCCTGCGCGGCACGGCGCTCCGCCTCGATGAGTGACTGCCGCTCCTCGCCAGCAGCACGCACAACACGTCGCAAATCCTCCTGCTCGTCACGGCAGTTGTGCAGCTGCGCTGTAGCGGCGTCGAGGCGGCCAGCGGCATCCTCCGCCTCGCTGCGCCAGTGACGAAGCTGCCCCTTCAGCTTTTCATTCTCGGCGACGAGCCGCATCGCCCGCTGCTCATCCCGTGTAGCGGTGAGGTCCCACAACGCCTGGGAGAAGAAAAAGCGCGCTTCCAACTCCGCGTGCTCCGTGGAGCAACGCTGGATCTCTTCGATTAGACGCAGCTGCTCACGCAATGCTTCGCTCGAGTCACCGCTTACGCCGCTAGTGATGGTGTAGCCGCCATCGTCACCAGCGCTATTGGTGTTCATGCCGCCGGTACCACTCTCCAGCGTGAGCTGATGGTGATACTGATGATGACCATGATGCTGAGGATGTGGTCGCTGCTCTTGTTGTTGGGCGGTGTGACCACCGCGTGCGCGCGTAGTGGAGGAGCTCAAAGTGGGCGACGGGGTTGGGATGGACGAGCCTGTTGTTGGCATCGTCACTGGCGCGGAGGTTGTTGTCGTCGTCGCTGTTGTGAATGCGGCCCCTGCACCACCAGAGCTCGACGGGGCAAGCACCAACGCCCGCAGTCCCGGCTCCGTTCTACGGCCTCTATGCAAAGCGAGTCGCAACCGCTGGTTGTCGACGCTTAGCCGCTGCAGCTGCAGACGCTGCAGTTCCCGCTCCTCATCCCACTGCGTACGTTCCCTCCGCGTCTTTTCGTACTCCCCTTCTGCCGTCACGTACAACTGGCGGAGCTTCCGTGTCTCCTGCACCTCACGCAGCAGCTCGTCGCGCCCGCGCTTCACATCCTCCAACTCCCGGTGGCACCTCTCCGCCTCCCTCTTGAACTTATTGACGAGGTCGGTGCACATGGAGCGGAGCTGCAGCACCTCCGTCGGGGAGGCCCAGTGCTCGTAGTACGATGCCACCTCCTCAGGCAGCTCGCCATCGAGGGAGTAGAGCGGGTTCGGCGCGCCACTGCTCGTGTTGGTCGGTGCAGCTGTCGGGCTCTGCGAAAGCGGCAGCTGCCGCTCCCCCAGGCACGATGTCGACGTCGCTCCCGTTGTTGTCGTCGCTGCTCCTGTCGTGGTGGTCGTGGTGTGTGGCGTGTTTGACAGCGGCGACGACGTAGTGCCAGTGAGGCGCCGACTTGACCCGCCAGTGGACTCCATCGGCTGTCACGTACAGCGAGCGAGCGAGCAAGAGAGACGCGGTGCTGAGCTAGCAACAAGAGAAGTTTCCATCCCAAGTCAAAGCGAAAAAAAATGCACGGTGAGAGAGAGAGAGAGAGAGAGAAAGTGAGTGAGTGAGAACGGAAAGAGTAATGGAAGGCAAGTGATGGAAGCAGCATTCAAAGCTCATGGCATGCAAAGGTCTCATAAACAGGTATAAGAAGAAGCGGATGTGAGCGGGTGCTGTTGGGCCCTTAGAAGTCCTCGAAGGACGCAGGGATCCTGACCGCATTGGTGGATCCGTCGTGGTAAATGTACTGCACCGTCAACTTGCTCGCAGCAGCGGCAGTCGCTGCCGCTGGTGCCTTTGCACCGCCCGCTGCTGGGCGCTTGTGTCCCGATGTACCTTCAGGAATAAGACGCCCGAAGAAGTCCCTCTTTCCACTCGGTTTCGGTTTCGTCTCCGTGGCCCCAGCAGCAGGAATAGAGGCAGCAGCAGTGGTAGTGGTAGCAGTAGCAGTAGGAGGAGGAGGAGGAGGAGGAGGAGTAATACTGGTAGCCGAGAGGGCTGGATTAGGATGTGTCGCTTGATCCGGCAGAGTTACGCCCTGCTTGGCCTTGTTCGCCTCCTCGAAACGCGGCTGCTTCTCCTTTTCCTCCTCCCGCTCACGTTTCCGTGTTGCTGGAGCCGCGCTCTCACCCAATTCCTGCTTCACACCGTTACCGCTAGCCCTGATGTTGTCATTCTTTTTAGGGGCGTGTGGCGACCCATTCTGGATGATGAAGCGCTGGATTTCTCCCACCATCAGTTGTTTCATCTCCTCCTTCATCCGTAGCACCATCACCGATGGCGCCGCGCGGCTAGGAGAGGCAGCAGCAGCAGATTTCAGCGATGGCGTGGCTAGCGTGGCTCTCTGCGCGGGCCTTGACCGCACAGCGCCATGCAGCACGCACCCAAGACGGTGGATAGGCGGCGCCAACTCCCAGTGCTCCTCCGCCAACGCATCGTCGTCGTCATCATCCTGCTGTAGATGCTGTGTTCGCGACACTGAAGTGCATGCGTACGTGAGCCCATACTCTGCGTGACGGGCAACCGAGTCGTGCAGCAGCTGCTGGTCCTGCCGGCTCAGCGCCGTGACGGCTGCAACGGAATGGGCGGGGACACGCAGCGACGCATCGCACAAGCAGCGCAGAAGCAGCGGCGCCACCTCCTGCGCGACGACGTCCACCGAGCAGAGATGCACCGCCGTTTCACCCCGGCAGCCGTCGCGCAGTGAGCGGGCGACGTGCAGCGACTCCGCGTGCCTCCGGCTCAGCGCC